TATATATATATATATCAATGAGAAACCGAGTGTCATCTTTGACTTATGTTGTTGCTCTTGAGGTTGATCTAAAACTCCCATAAAGTTTTCTGTTTTCTTGAGGTACTTTTAAACATTAATTGACTTGGTGTTTTTTGGGAGTCAATTTACCAAGACCTCATCAATGATTAATAATCGCATCTTTTGATGTCGTTCCCATGACAAATTCAGATTTGTAAGATACCAAAAATTATACAATTTATAATAGGTTGTTTCAAAATACAAAACGCTTACAGGCAAATGTAAAACGTCACAAGTTTATATGACGTTTTTTGTATGTCTTAACTAGTTTTTTAAGACATTTAAAAATAAGTATTTTATTAATTTTGTTACATGACATTATTTAAAAAATTAATGTCTTCTAAAAAACCAGTGTTCTATAAAAAGATGTGTGCATAAGATACTTTGGAAAAATATATTGTAGAAAAGCTAATAATTGTATTCTATTCAGACCCCTTCCTATAGGGGGTATGGGAGTGAGGTAAAGAGCGTAAGAAATAGGTGGTATATTATTTTAAAGGTGTTCTAAAAAAATTGTTGTGATATCTAAAAACGTAAACGTCCCATTAACCTTGTCTTTAAGTATATAATATTTACATACAACAAATTGAACTCTCATACACTCCTCACTTTTGGTAAGATTTGAACCCTTGACATTGTAAGTAGGTTGGGTTATAAGTACCGCTAGGCCAAACGCCCTTTGGATAACATCTTGTAAATTTATTGTAAAACTTTTACATATGACCCATAATTATTTGGTCTTGTCAACGTAAGACGTAGTATCCTTTGTTGTGTTTTTTCAAGCTTGGTTTTTGAAGGTCAATTCATTCCGATTAAGACTTCTTTCGAACCAGTTTTTTAATCTTCCATTGACCTATAATATTGTTTGGTACGCATGAACGATTGGATATGACAGAACTAGACAAGATAAGACAGTTGGACTGGATTGGACAAGACAAGTTGATTATCTGGTGTTTGATACGACTAGAATCTAACTAAACAAGTTGCCTCTAAAAGTTGTTTTTTTATGGTTTTATGTATCATATAATATTTATAAATGACGTAAATATTTAAATAATTTAACTTATAGACATTTTTATACAATCGGGTTCTTTTGTACGAACGACGATGGTGGTGGTGGCGATGGGCAGTGCTGGTCAGTCCGACGATGGTTGTCGAGAAGGTTGTTGTAGTGGAGGTGGCCGATGGTGGTTGGCAGTGGCTACTCGACCACCGACGGCATTGATAGGCAGTGGCTACTAGACCACCGACGGCATTGATAGGCAGTAGTGACCATTAAAACAAATACCATATTAGAGTTTTATACATCAAATGAAGGTAGATTAATAGTTTTTTTAGTTTATGTCTTCTCTTTATCTCATGTTGTTCCACCTATTTTCATGAAACATGAATTTTTTTTGTATTACGTCAAACGTAAGGTAATAGGTTTTATTTTTTTTCACTTACTTTTTGATTCATGTGTGCACATAATATAATTTAACTACCAATTAATTCCATATACCGTCAAATCTAATAGTCGACAAAGACTCACATGTAAAAGTTAGTCGGTTGAATACAAATTGGTGCAATCCACTAGCCATTTTTTTAAGGGTTTGAGCTGTTTTTGTACTGTAAAATCGAATCCTATCTTCACTGTTCCCAATGACTTGCTAAATACATGTCGATCAACAGTAAAATGGATGACGAAAATATCGGAAAATTCTTCTGTTTTATTTTTAGTTTAGGGGTTATTTATCAAACGGTTACGTAGGTAACTGATTACTAACAAAATTCAATACTATCACTTACTTACCGGGTAAGATTGGTCTACCAAAACGGTATCGTATGCAACAATTTACTGGGATAAGCGCTAACTGTGGTAAGAGTCGTCACCCTCACTTACTGGGTAAGACTATTGGTCATTGTATTCGTTCTTACCGAGTAAGATTATTAGTCCTTGTTATATGCATCTGCTAAGGTAATGTGACTTGTTAACCGTTATTCGGGTAAGCGTTTGCTAAACGTCCCCCTTACTTTTTTCAATTTGAAAAAAACAATTAAGATTTTGCAAATGTCCATTTCACAACTTGTGAGCGGTACTTTTTATGAATAAAATATGATTCTAGTGGGCTGTTTCGCAAGCTACCAAAGAGATTTCACAAGCCAAAAGGTCATTTCGCAAGTTGTGCCCATTCCATAAGTCGACCACACCGAATAATAATTAATTCAGAAAAAATGAATTGGTGCAAGCTATGAAATCTTGACTATTTTGATACCAACGGGGAAAAATGGACTATAAAATAAAGAGGTTCATTTTGAATGGCTAGTTTGATCACTTTCCTCAATATTATTACCTGTAATACTATGTACACCTACCTTTATTTCAGAATTAGGTTAAATCATGTATTAAAAATGTAAAAGTAAATAGCTATGGATACATTTTGGAATATAGATATAGGAATGTATATAGCCATAACGGAGCCAGAAGTGGCATTGGCTCCCCCTCAAACTTCAAAAATAGAATTTGATATTTGAAACTTTTTTCAAGTCTTTTCTAGAACTATTTTGAGGACTAGAAGAGTACTCGCGTAATGCAGCGAGACACGTCTCGATTTTAATATTTTATTTTATTATTTGTCTCTGTCATGTTATAATACGATTTTATGTGTTTTTAAGAAAGCAATAATGATTTTATTTTTGAATAAAATATAAACTTGAAGATATTATAAAAATTCGAAAAAAAAATATATCGATATTAATATCAAATTAACTATTTAAAAGTTCTTATTTTTATGTAATTTCTTTAATTTGTTATTTTATTATAATTTAGTTTAAGTTTAATAACGAAATAATTTATTTTTTGTTTAATAATATAACATTTTATAAAGATAATAATTAAGTATTCTGTTAGAACTCAACGATTATCTTAATTATATTTTATATTTTTTATATTTAAAATGAAATGTTTATCATGTATTTGATTATGTTTATCTGCAGTTAGTTACACGAATTCAGATATGGAGCTTTAATAAATTGTACTTATGCACAATCTACTTGCAACCTTGAGTTTTAAGTAATATAGTACTTTATACATAAAAAGTAATTTTTAAAAGTATTTTTTTTAAATGCTTTATAATATAGTTAAAAAAAACATATATGCAGCCTAACACCAACAGGTGGGTGGGTGGGGTAGGGGTAGGGGTAGGGGCATGGAGGACGTACGCATCTCAGGATAATATATCTTGCGGAAAGTACTTCACGGGAATTTCTGTGTGCTCTCCACACTTTGATTTCACACATTAAGGTTTGACAAAGATTATGCATCCTGCTTGGAATTAAATATAGAGTCAGCCATGACATCATTTCTTGGTTTTTTCTGATGGATATAATATAATCCACGGTCAGATCCGCAATTACGATGGTAAAACTGGTTGAATTTGATTTTTTTTTTTGGCTTTTAGCTAGGTCTGCAATATGCAAAAGTATTGATATTTGGGTTAACTCGAGAGAGAAATGGTTAGAAGACCTATTTAAATGTGTGAAATAATCATTTGAGTTGATTTCTCTTTCATTGAGTGTACCTGCATTTCTTGAAACTAGAATTATACAGTTATTGTGTTAGGGACAAAAACTGCAATAAATTACAAACCAATAGACGAGAATCGTAATTTTTGGAAGCATGTGGATGAAAGTCGTGATTTTTAACAAACCAGAGGGACGAAAACAGAAGTCTACTTTGAATATATATATAACCAGCATCATGCCCATAAACTGACTTATTTCCACTTGAGAATGAATTCATCAATGGTGTTCAAAAGCTTTCTACTTCTGCCATTTCTACTGGTTCTTGGTGTTGTATCTGCAGATTCCAGTTTCAAAGAAGAAGATGCTTTGAAACATGTCAAGAACTCAATCACAGATGACCCAACTGGTGCACTCCTGGATTGGAATCCTGATTCCACCCACCACTGCAACTGGACTGGAATTCAATGTGATGATGTTTCTGGACTCGTAGTTTCGATTTCCATTCAGGAAAAACAGCTCAAAGGCCAAATCTCTCCCTTTCTTGGAAACCTTTCCAGCCTTCAGATTCTTGATCTAACTTCAAATTCATTCACTGGCATCATTCCTTCCCAGTTGGAATTCTGCACACAACTTTCGACACTTTCCCTTTATGCCAATTCTCTATCGGGGCTGATTCCATCGGAACTAGGAAAACTCCGGAATCTGCAATTACTAGATCTTGGACACAATTCGCTTACGGGTTCCATTCCGGTGAGCTTGTGTAATTGCACTTCCATGGTGCAACTTAGCCTTGACGAGAACAAACTCAATGGTACAATCCCAGATAGAATCGGCGACTTGATAAATCTTCAGCTTTTTGGAGCCTTTAATAATCTCTTACAAGGCTCGTTTCCGACGTCGGTTGGTTATTTGAAAGAGTTACAAGCTCTCGATTTCAGCCAAAACCAACTTTCTGGTACTATTCCTAGAGAGATTGGGAATTTGTCAAGTTTACAAGTTCTTCAGTTGTTTGAGAATTCTTTCTCTGGGAAAATACCATCAGAACTTGGCCGTTGCACGAATCTAACGGTTCTCAATTTATACAGCAACAAGTTCATTGGTGCCATTCCTGATGAGCTGGGAAACTTGGTGGATTTACAGTCTTTGCGGTTGTATGACAATCGGTTGAACTCAACGATCCCAGTCTCGTTGTTCCGGTTGAAATCATTATTGGTTTTGCAACTAGGGAGGAATAATCTATCTGGGAAAGTTTCTTCTGATATCGGCTTGTTGGAGTCGTTACAGTTCCTGACCCTTCATGAGAACAAGCTTACCGGGGAGATCCCCGAATCGATAACCAGGTTGGTCAATTTAACATACTTGACAATTAGTTTAAACTTCCTCACAGGAACAATTCCTTCTAGAATTGGGTCCCTTCATAACTTGAAGAATCTCTCTCTTAGCAATAATCTTCTAGAAGGTTCTATCCCGTCCAGCATATCAAACTGCACGAATATCCGGTTGATAGATGTTTCTAGAAATAGGATTTTCGGAGAGATTCCCAAGGGTTTAGGAAAGTTGTCAAATCTTACGTTTCTAAGTCTTGGAAACAACCGGCTTTCAGGAAGAATCCCAGATGACCTCTTCGATTGTCTAAATCTAAAGACTCTAGATGTAGCACATAACAATATTACTGGATTTTTGAATTCTAGAATCGGAAGACTTTCTAATCTCCAAATACTCCAAATTCATGATAATTCCTTCTTCGGGCCGATCCCTAAAGAAATCGGGAACCTAACTAGTTTGATGTTGTTAAATCTTGGGAAAAACCGGTTTTCCGGCACCATTCCGGTAGAGATTTCTAAAGTTTCTCTTGTTCAAAGTCTTTTAATTGGTGACAATATTCTTGAAGGCCAGATTCCAGAAGAGATCTTTGAGCTTAAACAGCTGATTGAACTCTACTTGATGAACAACAAATTTGTGGGTTCTATTTCACCTTCATTTTCGAACCTTGAGCTTCTTTCTAGGTTGGATCTCAGTGGAAACAGGTTTAACGGATCGATTCCAGATAGCTTGATGAAACTTAACCAGTTGATTTCGATAGATCTTTCACACAACTTCTTGATGGGATCGGTTTCTGGGCCGCTGATTTCTAGTATGAAGAATTTGCAGATGTATCTCAACTTATCGAGCAATTTTCTTACGGGAAAGATCCCGAATGAGTTGGGTGATCTGGAGATGGTGCAAGCAATTGATTTCTCGAACAACAATCTGTCGGGAGGAATTCCGATAACACTTCAAGGCTGCAGAAACCTCCGTAGTCTTGATTTTTCAGGAAATCAGCTTTCCGGTACTCTTGCAGCTGACATATTCCTGCCTCTCGACGAGCTTACCAGTATGAATTTCTCAAGTAATCTGTTCGACGGTGAGATCCCAAAAAGTTTGGCAAATCTGACCCGTCTTATTTCTGCCGATCTTTCGGAAAACAAATTCACGGGCCAGATTCCCGAGAGTTTTGGCAACATTTCGACACTGAAACACCTAAACCTTTCTTTCAATCGGCTAGAAGGACGTGTTCCAAATACCGGTATTTTCAGAAACGCTAGCGCTGTTGACTTACTCGGAAATCCCTCTCTGTGCGTTTCCAACGACACCAAATCATGCGCCTCATCTCGTTCAAACAAAATATCCAGAAAGGCTGTATTGATTCTTGCAATACTCGGATCGCTCGCTTTGCTACTTGTTTCCATTTTGGCGGTATTGTGTTATCGGCATGTTGGGAAACCGAAAGTCAAACAATCCGAGAACCCAGAACCAGAATACACCCGAGGGTCCATTCTCAAAAGATTTGATCGAAAAGAACTAGAAAATGCTACCGCAAATTTCAACGAAGGTAACATTATAGGTACAAGTAGTTTAAGCACCGTTTATAAAGGTACATTAGAAGACGGAAAAATGATAGCCGTAAAGAATTTGAATTTCATCCAGTTTTCAGCCGAATCCGATAGAAGTTTCAACCGAGAAATGAAGACATTGAGCAAACTGAGGCATAGAAATCTAGTAAAAGTTCTTGGATATGCATGGGAAAGTGGGAAGTTAAAGTCTCTGGTTCTCGAGTTCATGGAAAACGGTAACTTGGATCGAGTAATACATGATTCTACGATTGATCGATCGAGATGGGATCTTTCCGAAAGAGTTGAAGTTTTGGTTTCGGTTTCCAGAGGATTGGCTTACTTGCATTCTGGGTATGATTTCCCGATTGTTCACTGTGATTTGAAGCCTTCTAACATTCTTCTGGACGGAAAGTGGGAAGCTCGAGTTAGCGATTTTGGGACGGCTAGAATTCTTGGAGTTCATAAGCAGGACGGAAGTAGCATCTCTTCTGGGTCGGCATTCGAAGGCACCATCGGTTACTTGGCTCCAGGTAACGCGTCGCCAACTCCTCGTTCTTCTTTCGATTCCGAAGAAACAAAAGAAATTTTGAATTGTGAATTGTGAATCTAGATAGTTTGATTTCTAAGATCAAACTGGCTAAGATTGAAGTTCAAAACTGATGAATGTTTCATTCTTTTCGAAAATTCTGATAACCCGCTTCAACAAAATCAGCTTTATAGGATGACAAATATGTCCAAGTGTCCTGATAGACGACTGTCTTATAGGATTTTAGATTTATAACATTAAACAACTTTTCGTACGTAAAAGTGTTACAATAAGTTGATATCGTCTTTTAGAGGTCCGAATAAATTTTTAGGATACTTTTGAAATAAAGGGTCATTTTAGTCGTATTATATTACATTACTTGAAAAAATATCTTATAAAAACAATTGTACAACAAAAAGATGAGCTCATAGAAAAAAATGGGGTTATATGAAAAAATCTGGTTTACAGGACACGAAAAATAAATTGTTTCATAGGACCAAATAATTTTGTCTTTTATGTAAAAGCATTGCAATAAGTTTATTGGACGCATTTCAACGTCTTAACAATTGTTTAAGACGTTTTTAAAATAAAGTGTCTTATTAGTTTTTTTTACATGACACTTTTGAAAAATATCTTATAAACATGTCGTTCTATAGAACACTAGCTCGTTATTATAAGACACTTTTTTTCAATTAATGTCATAAAAATGTAGTAGGATGTTTTATTAGAAAAATGTCCTAAACACTTGTTACGACATCCAAAAACATTTTATAAATAACACTTTTATATAGGATGAACAAGTGTTAGGTCATATAAACTTGAAATTTGTAAAACGGTCTGTTAGATTTATGATACTTGGACATTTTTTACGTCCTATAAGTCCGATTTTCATTCTTTTTGATGTTGGGACTAAACTTTTGCAACATATACTATGCTCTAGAAGATGTTTGAATTGCATTTCTAACAAGATACATATGAATTCTTATGTTGAGTTCCTCTAGAATTTGCGTATATGAGAAAAGTAACGACAAAAGTAGACGTTTTTAGCTTCGGAATAATAGTGATGGAATTCATCACGAGAAAAAGGCCGACCGGACTCACTGAAGAAGACGGGCTCCAAATCACTTTGCCTCAACTAGTAGACCAAGCAGTTTCAGGTGGAATCAATGAGCTGATCGAGATTGTAGATCCTGATCTGAATTCTAATTTCTCGACGAAGCAGGGCGTCATAGAACAACTTCTTAAGTTGGCGTTATGTTGCACCAGAATGGATCCAGAAGACCGACCCGACATGAATGAAGTCTTATCTTCCCTTTCAAAGATCAGTAAGAAAGTCTAGGTTGTAAGAACTACAACGGAATTGGGTTTATAAGACGTTAAAAATGTTCAAGTATCATAATATACTGTTTTATAGAACTTGAGTTTATCAAATATATGCACATCTTATATAAAAGTGTTGCAATGAGTTTATAAGATGCTTTTGACATTTTAACATATTTTTTATAATACTTATAATATCGGATATTATATATATATATATATATATATATATATAGGGTTGGGTTCACGTGAAACCAGACTGTTTTCGTGAGACCACATTTTTACACTTGAAACTTCACAGCAAAAACATTGTGAAGGTTAAAAAAAAGTCGAACCTTCACAGGAAAAACACTGTGAAGGTTAAAAAAGTCACCTTCACAGCATTTTGCTGTGAAGTTTCAAATATAAAAAAGTAGTCTTACGGGTCTCACGAAAACATGCTGGTCTTACATAATCCCAAGTATATATATATATGATGGGATAAGATCTTATCTACAACCAAATATGATCCAAATCTAGGGATTATTCCCTTCTGGACGGTAAATGTTATACAATCCAAGATTGGCTTTCAATTTATATCAACCACTTGTTGAGTACTTGACTCGATATTCTTCCGGTCAACCTCAACATGTTTTAGTCTGATGATGATGAACTGGATTATGAGCCATGGAGATAGCCAATTTTTTTTTTATAATCTAACCCGTTATACGAGTCAACTAATTCCAGATGACCACTTGCTTTATAAGATAGTCCGAAGTCACCGTATTTGAACCTTCGTGGCCACAAAGGGATTTTTGTTCCTCCTTGGATTTAAACCCGGGACCTCCTGTTACTTTTGACCTTTGGAGCCAAACTCAAACCAATCAAGCACCACCCATGTGGTTGGAGATAGCCACTTTATTGTTACACCAAATGAACATTGGGTGTTTTTATGGGGTGTTTGGGATTGCTTATTTGAAACAACTTATGTTTTATTTACAAAAGCACTTATCAACTTATTATAAGTCAAAAGGGTTTAACTTCTTCAAAAACGCTTATTACCGGTTTGGCACCGGTATAAATTTAACATACGTGGGACTCCAACGTTTTTAAGTATAAATAGACGTCTTTTTCTAATTTGTCTCACCAATTTCTCAACTTCTTAACATGTCTTTCAACTCTCAAGCATTCATCATTTCTCTCAACTTCTTAACATATCTTTCAACTCTCAAGCATTCATCATTTCTTTCAACTTCTTAACATGTCTTTCAACTCTCAAGCATTCATCATTTCTCTCAACTCTAAATCAAGCATTCGTCATCGTCTTGGAGTAAAATCTTGCCCTCCTCGGGGATCCGATTTCTTCTATTATAGTATTCTTCATAAGCCGCTTTTGTTCTTAAGAAAAGCAGAAAACTAGAAGCGAAACCTACAAAAGAAATGCAACCCCACAAGCCAAATGTCTCATTATAGCATCGTCGACCAATACATACCTTCGATCCATCGACAACCTCCTCGTTTGAGCTGTCAATGTTGGAATCGTAAATTAGAGCTGCAAGAAGGCCATATAGTAATGATCCCAATGGAATGTTGGTTATGAGGATGTTATGATTGATTCCTGAGCTTTTTGATCCAAAAAGCTCAGAAGTGATCGAAATGGCGGTTGAAATTAAGAACCCGCACGAGATTCCCATCAACCCTGTGGCTGTATGCAAAGCAATCTTGCTGTCCGAGAGAACTAGCACAAGAAAAGCAATAGGTATTGGCACGATTGCAAGCGTTAACCTCCCGGTTCTAGCTGTATACATATCTGCATTCGATTATAAGGTAAAAGTAAATAGAAGATGCATGTCAAAAATCACTACAATAAGATGGGTCTTTTAGTAATAGATTACTTAATTAGACTGTAAGTTTATAAGACTGGGGACATTCCAATCTTTTTTGGAGACCCGTATATACCTAAAGCTTTTGATTACACTGAAAAATGAGATAAGATACATATATACAAACAGAGACGATGATGAGGCGATCACTTTCGTCTTTCGATAGAAATTAGAGAGGCACTAAGGTGGACTATAGTCCTACATTCGTCGATGGAAGGCCCTAAACAATGAAAAATTGGGCCCCAAAATCACACATTTAACATGCTAAAGAACGGCCTTGCATGGAACCAAGATTTGTGTCTTATCTAAAAGAGTCAGAATAAGTTGTTAGAACGAATTTAGCTGACCTAACAAGTTCTACCAACGAAGTTGCGCAACCTAACAGAACACAAAGAATATATCGTTCTAAGGCTAACAGGAAGATTTACCCATTGTGTTATGTTAGGTTAGCCAACTTTGTCCTGTAGAACTTGTTAGGTTGTTTAATTTCGCTCTTACAACTTATTTTAACGCCTTCAGACAGGACGTATAATTCTTGGTCCTATTAAACTAAGTCCCAGGACACAAAAAGTAAAGCGTTCCAAGGCTAATAGGAAGATTTACCCATTGTGTGCTGTTAGATTGTCCAAGTTGTAGAACTTGTTGAGTCGCCTAACTTCTCCCTAAAAATTTATTCTTGCCTTTAGATAAGACACAATTCTTGGTCCCATAAACTTAAAGTCCCATTAAGCACTCTATTAGGACTATTAGGGCACTCAATGACCGTCCACATCCAAAAAGACCCGTTTTGTTGTAGTGAATGCATTAGTTGTGCATCTACAAACTATACATTTTAGCCTAATACTTACTCGTACGAGTCTGGTGGTAAAAGCAGCCAACTAAGTCTGCAGCAGCCGAAAAAAGACGACCAAGAAACGAGCACGTTGAATAGATCGTGACAAGTGCTTTGGTCTCGGAGATGTACCCAAGTGATTGACAAATTTGGCCAAGATTATTGTTGTAAACTAGTCCAATAGTACCCCCACAAAAATATGCAATGTAGTAAAGCCAGAAATCACATCGAGTCACCAAATATGTAGCAGTATGTTCCTCGCCAAGCACTCTCAATCGATCTTTGGCTAAAATCCCATGAAAACCACATAAATTATCATTGAAAATAGAACTTTCTTCTGAAGGTTCTTCTTCATGTTTCATTTCGACCAAACTGTAACTGGGTGCTTCCAACTGTTGATGTTTTGTTTCAACCAAATTGTAACTTGGTCCTTCAACAGGGTGCTTTTTGGATTGGAGGGCCAGGTACACCCGTTTAAGAGAATAGACGGTTATTGGTAAGAGCAATGGGAGCACTACCAACAACAATGCCACAACAAATATATTTTGTGATGCTGGACCTACAAAGTATAGATACAGGCCTGTAAAGGCTGCTAATATATACATACAGACGAATATATATGCATCATCTTTGTTGACATTTTCATCTATTTGAAGCTCTTTTTGGGAGCCGGGTTGTTGGAGGATTGGGACTAGTGCTGCAATTGCTGTGATCAAAGGGATAACGGCATTTAGAATAAGGTAAGAGGTGTTTTTATTATTCGGGCTTAATTTTTTGACGATGATGTTGTATAAAGCTGCTGATACTCCATTGAAACTAACACTTAGAGATACAGCAAGTGGCCAGTTTTCTGGGAAGTTTTCGATGCATAAAAGGAAACAGACTGTGTTGAACCATGTGATGCTTGCACCGGCTGATGAACACAAAAAGAACACCTATAAGGTATACAGAATGTGGTAGACGTTAGCAAAGTGATAAGGACGTCCGTAGAAGGTTGAAATGTGTAGAATAAGATGAATGGGGAATAAAAGAAGCAATTTAAAGGGTACTTCTATGTTAAATTAGCCATTATCCTGAGCCAAAATTTGACATCATTGTTTTCTCTATTGAAGAATTCAAAGATTTCTTGATGCCACCTTTTGCGTATATTAACATGGTAGCCTTGTTTTCAAAAGAATAACTCAATATTTTTGTTTGACAATGCAAGTAAAAAAAATAGTTCAATCATTACAACTCAAAGAAGAACTATAGAACCTTACTGAAGTCTAGTAGATGTTTTGGAATGAAAACTAAAGAGCATGATTAGAGTCCAAGGTAGACTACTCGAATACTAAAGGCAAGGAAAAATGAACAAAAAGTACTCACATTCTATTAGCATTAAATCTTAAATAGGGATGGAGACAAGGCAGGTAATGGGCAGAAAATGCATCCCCTGTCACCGATCCTGCTCCCCGTTTATGTCCCCTGTGCCGTCTAATCTCCGACAGGTTCAGGGGGAAGGAATGCTCATCCGTTGGGCAAAAGGCACTACTTCTGAGAGTTTACTAACCAAACAAAGGGTTAAAGACACAAATCATGAAAGCAGTATTTGACGACATCTCTTTTTGTTGTTTTATTTCAATCCTTGATATGTACTTCCAAATACTAGTCAACTTAAAGGCTCGTGCAAGTTCAGTTACTTGACAACAAGCAATCATGAAGTTGTAGAAATTTATGTCCATGGGTATCTTCATTTAAAATATTTTATCAAACTTCAGATTAATTTTGCTTTTTATGGTAGTCCATTATTGTTTGGGTCAGCCTGAAACTTTTCTTTTAAACTGATGAAAGTTCTTTTTCTTGATAAGAAGAAAATATTTACTTGAGCAGATGAGAAGTGTTTTTCTGAGAATCTCAAGAGACAACAACAATTGAGGTTTTGTTTCTAAAAAGTTGTTTCTGTGTGTGAAAACCAGGGGCACACAGGCATAGTAAAGAGCTCTTTGGTGTTGCAGTGTTCTTCTGAGTCATTTATCAAAGTGTTCGACTATTATGGTTGTCACTGTTGGTATGTGGACAATTTGTTTTGTTTATGCTGGCAAATGAAGAAGAAATAGTAGAACAGATTGATTTGGGTTCTTGATATACAGGTGCAAAGTTTGGTATACTGAAATACTTTCAGAGCTTGTCTAGTTGTTTTTTCCCACTACACCATAAGGTTTTCCACATGTTCATCCTCTTTTGTCGTTATTTTTCGTGTCTGTCACCATAATAGGTATGATACATTTTCGGGTTAGTATGTTTGAATTCAATATACTCCAACTCCTATGAATGGGAATAAACACCAACAACAATGAGAAAGTAACCAAGATCTTTGAAGTTATAATGACCTAAGTGCACCTCAAAATTGCAATGATCAAAACTAATGCAAAAAACACACAAGTACGTAATGAAACAAAGCAATCAAGAAGAACACAAAGGTTTAATGTGGTTCCACTATAATGAGATAGCGTCACTGTTCTAACAGACTCGCTACAACAGACGCTGTGATGCACCGTGACTCGAGGCTTGTGTTTGATGTCACGTCAAGCATGTGGCACCTCATATCGATGAGAAGCAGGGGGCAGTTCTTAGGATTTAGGCCTAGTAGCAGTTGTGTAGCATCCAAAAAACAAAGGTATCTAGTCATGCTAAACATAGTCGTAACTGCAGAAATCATTGAAGCAAAGAGTCCAGACTCCATCTTAATCTTTAGTTAAGCTCTATACTAAGAAAGTAGGATGGGATTAGGCTGTCTGCAGGAAGAAAGAAAAAATATAGTGATTAGGGTAAGGTGAGCCTCTTCAAACACAGGGACACAGATACACCAAACTGTGTCACATCTACATTCACTTACAACACAACAAAGCATTAAAGAAAATTGCTTGATTTGCCACACAAGTAATATCAGTCAAAGTCATCAGTATAGCTACTCTAAATGTGCAGCTAATAGTTAAAACACTAATGTGTATCAAGACAACAAATTACGGTGCATTTTGACTAGTTTTAACATTGATCAAAGTTGGTTTGGCAGTGAAAACAAATTACATTTCCACCTAAATAAAGAAATTAGATAGCTCCAGTTATTTTCTTTCTTGACCATGGAAAATTAAAGAACAGTTAAAAATAAAAGCATGGTTAGTGGAGAAGATTGGGTCAACAGAAGGGCTACTTTGTGCGGTGGGAGTCATGGGTTTGAATATCATAAACAAACTCTTCGCAAAATAGTGAAAAGCTTTGCATACAGAGTATCTCTTCAACCTTACAAAACGGAACTGTGATCTCCTCAATTAAAGGTTTCTTTTTATTTCATAATGTACTATCCCATCCATTCTTGAGTAATTGTCACATGAATCATAGTTGTTATGCATAACTACATTGATATTAAATATTTTTAAAGCTCAGGGATGTTCAATCTGTGTTACATAATTTCACTGTTGACATAAACCCTTGAAGCCTTTTAGAGTTTTATCTCCCCATGAATTTCAAATTCAGTGCCCTTTTTACATTTCTAAATGTGGTTATCAAAGTTTTCAATTGTTCAAGCTGATTCTGTTTTATTCTGAATAAAAGAGTAAAATCATTTGACACAAGAACACTTCTTTGAGATATAAACCAAAGAATTTGGGAAGAAACACAAATCCTGTTTCTGTTAAATTTTAAAAAATAAAATCACAAACCCTAAGAGCCTCGTTCCTTCAAATGAATAAAAGTGTGTAGGAACCCTCATATAGATGGACAATTTCCCCTAACATTCTAAATTACAATTTCATTTTGAAGAAACAAAAAACCCTAAAATCAAAATTTGGGACACATAAAATAAAGGCAGAGTGAATGCATTAATAAAGGAAATCAAATTACGAACCACGAAATAAGGCAAAGAGATGGCTCGCTGAATGATAAGCCATTGAAGACCGTAGGCGAACAAACCAATGAAAGCAGCCATGAAAAGCACAATCCATTTCGGGAGATACAATAGAAGAACACCTGAACACCACCCGGACAACTTACCGACATCCGAAGCCATTGCCAAGTAATTGAGGTGCAACTGATTGATTTTCAGTTTGAATTTCATTTTGGTTGAATAAGAGGGGAAGTCGAAATTTGTACCCGTAAACGCTTGTATCCATATCACCGCCACCAACACCATCCATTTCCTGCATTCTAAAGATATCATCATAATCCGATTCTCCTTTAACAAACACACCGATGAAAGGGAAGGATCTGAAGGGAATTGAAATCATCATATTGCATGTCTTAAATGGCGGGACTATGCAAAATTTTGCCCACTTTTAGCCCTCCATCAATTTAAATTTTAGATAATGAAGTAAACTACAATTTTGAAATAACCCTTTCGAAATTACAAGCTCGCCATGGTTTTTAAAAAGGTTCGGATTTGATCCCTTCCTTTAATCACCATTAAAAATTTCGTTAAATGAGTGGTATTTTCGTTCTTTTATTCATTTTTTTGTCTGTTAACCAATCAAAATCGATTTTATAATTTGGTTCATATTGGTTTTTATTGTTTAAATGACAAAAAAATCAAGTAAAATACAAAATTGCCCTCATTTAACGGAATATTCTTAACGATCGTTAAAGGAAAGGATCAAATTCAAACATTTTTACAAATTATGATTACCATTTTATAACTTTGAAACTATAATAAAAAAGAAGTGTTATTTTTGGTAAACCACAAGGATCAAATTTGTAGTTTATTCGAGATAATAATAATAATAAAGTCCATATACTAAGGGTTATTTCATAAAGATCCATTTTTGTTCTTTAGGTATCGAGTTTGGTACTTTAATGAAACGGGACTGGAAGGATAAAACATGAGTAAACAGTAAATCATAAAGATGGGATGCGCTTTCTAAAGGTTAACTGAAATCTGAAACCTTCTACTCTACTCAAGAAGAACCATGACCATTGTGGACGCTTTTTAGAAGACTTTCCATGGAAGGATGAAGAAACCTCATGTGCATAGCCTTTTACTTGATAGTTCAAGAATGTTCCTTGTAAATATCTATATAGTTATTCTCTAGATTGTTCCCTTGAGTTGTATAAATAGGTCGTGGCCTCATTTGAGTCAATACACCTCAAAGTGTTCTTCGGAGCTCTCATGTAACGGTTTTCTCAGTTTCTCCCCATTCTAATTGTTCTTTTGGGTGCTTTTTACTTTCCTTAATCACTCGTTGTTCAGGAGTTTGGCTAATGATAACCCTAATTTTTAGGATTGTTTTATACTCTTTATTTCTTATTTCTTTTGTCTATCATTGCCATTTCCTCTCTCAAACCCCCATTTTTTTTTGTCTAATCTTTGTACTTGAGCAATGAGAGAGCACTTTAGCACTTTTGAGCTATGTATTGCGATTTTATAATGGTGCCTTGAAAAATTATTCGCAGTGGGATCCATAGTCCCACTCTGAGAGTCTGAAAGTCAACACATCCGCCACAACTACTTAAGAAAGCTGAAAATAGGGCAGAGGGTGTGTAGAAAGGTGATTTGGGACGTTTTAGCTTTATTTTGGCTTGAAACAAGGAAAGTAATCTATACGCTAGAAGACAAAAAAGAAGTTGTCATTACAATAGGTAAAAGACTCTTTTTTTGAAAGAGGGGGGGGGGGGGACTTTGTTTCTTTCTATTTTTGTTTCTCTTATTGTGCTTCTTTTATAAATAGGTGTCTTGGCTCTTTTAGAAAATACATACATGTAGAGGAGAGAATCTAGATCCATTAACTAGGTAGCTAATAATTAATAGATGTCTCACTTATTCTAGTTAGTAGTTGCTTTACATTTTTGTCCTTTAAACTAATTTCTTTTAGTATTGTAAACTAGTGTCTTCCATAGTGGGTGTTACATTCAGTTTTAGTTGAATCAGTTGAAATGTTTTCTTATATACTTTATTGCTACACTTTCTTCTACCATTCTAGTATGAGCTAAACATCTTTTGAGATGTAGGTTTGAAAAGTTATGACAAGACTTGAGTTTTCTATATAGTTTAACTTTTACGTCTTTGTCACTTTTTGTTCGATAACTCCTACTGATGCTGACAAGATGATCACTTGAATGTATTTAAAGTTCAATCTTCGACCCAAAGATAGATAAGATGCAATGAAACAAGCTTAGTGATGGTAGGGGACTTGAGAAAGTTCTTATAGCACGAGTGCGAACCGGTTTTGCACAGTGGAATCGACTCCTCTTTGGGTAGTGGGTAAGCTAGTTGGTTAAGTGTATTTCCCCTAGACATTCCTTAGAACCTGACAAGGTTCATTAGAGTCACCATTGATAAGATGGTAAAATTAAACCATGGAAATTTGACATGAGGTTTAAGTACTTGTGTGACTTGGCCTCTCTAAAGAGAGTGCCCACTGAGCACTGCCCTTGATCAAGTGCTCACCATAAGTTCTGAAAAATTACCATACATGCACTTACCTTTTTATCATAGTATTTTATTAAACTGATTATCACCAAACAAACGTTTTTGCTTCTTCTCTAATTGAAACTTGTATTAATGAAAAACAATAGTGCCTTGATTATCCAATCCTTAATCTATTACCTGAAGTGACAATGGTAGTCCCAATGATCTAAAGAACAATGTAATCCAATACCGGAAGATAGAAATCAAGATAAGAACAGACAGTTTAAGGCAAAGAAGTTATATGTCATTGATAGTCAAATGGATACAAGCTTTGAGAGATAATCTCTAGAGAGAGAAAATTACAATATTGAATTGCTTATAAAGATTCTGTTCCAATAACTAAATCTCTAGAAAATATAGACTATTTATACACAAGTTCAGAAGAGATACTAAAGATACATGATAGTACAAGAATGACTAATGATAACATATATGACACATGTTCTAATATGCTCAACTCTTTTATACTTGATTTTCTTTGCTTTGAAGAGTGTCCATAAGTCTAACAAAGCTTCTTCCCATCCAAACTCTAACTCTAAAGGGTCAGATCTTTGGAGCTTCAAACACTTAGCAAATTAAGTATTTCGAACTCCGAACTCAGTCGAACTCTTAGTGTCTTGTTCTAGATTTAATACTTAGAAACATTTCGTTTGCGCTAACTTTGGGACTTCTTTCTAGAGTTCAACAATTAAATAAAACTTGAGATGTGGAGATGAAATAAGGAGTCATGGTGATGAAAAGTTGGGAATAATGTGGATGAAGATAAGCTAAGAAGATGAAGATCAAAAGTAAGTTTGGAGTGGAGTCTGAGGAAATTTAGGTTAAGGTTTTATTTTATTTAGTTTATGTTATTTTTAATTTTTGTATTGATGCAACACATGCTTCAACTTTGCAAAAAATTATAAAAAAATAATAAAATTCCCCTCACATGAGGGCCACTTAATGTAGTAGGTCTCACACATTCGTTAGCCTTGGATGCCAAAACCCACAACAAAATGCACACCACATGGGAAACGATGTAATTATTGAAGTCCAAAGACTGAAAACCAGAGTTTTGGTTAGCTACATATATAAAAAATGTATTCACTATTAGAAAACTGATTATTTCCAGTGAAATTTTCGGCAGAAAAATCTGCCGGAAAAATTAGTGGCGAATTTCCAGCGGACATCAAAAAAGTCTACTTCCGTTGACTTCTGCCGGAAATACGCCACTAATTATTTTGTAAAAAAAATCTATATTCTTGCATTATTTCCGGCGCATTATACAAATTAAATAATTGTGAAGTTATTAACTCTAATTATAATAAATTACCGGCGGATTTTTGATTAATTTTTTAAGATTAACGCCCGAAAGTAATCTGCTAGAAAATAATTAAAGATTAAAATTTATTAGTTTAAATTACCGGCAGATTGCCGAATGTCGTGGCCGCCGGTAATTTAAAATAATAAATTCTTCAAGATTTTTTAAAAATATTACTGTTTTCTCGCGGATTTTCGGCAGCTATTTTCCGACGGATTTCGACAGATATTTGGATTTTTTTTTCGTTTTTCATAGTTTAGGTTTTATATATAAGTAAAATATTACATATTCCACATGGTATGTATAGTGGATACGAATTCTTATCGAGTCCAACACACACACACATACATGTATGCAATGCATATCTATATACAAACACATAATCCCATGTCATTGCTATTATTGTACTTTAATAACTATTAAAAAAAAGTCTTATTTGGTTTTAACGGGTCTCAGTTGAGCCTAATACATACCACATGCTCATGTTCAATACATGTCTTCTCACAAACACGTATTGGGTTTTAATGGTTCTTATTGAGTTTTTAATACATCTATTGGGCTTTAATGGATCTGTTGGATTTTATTTAAACGTATTAGGCTTTAATGGCTGTTAGTTGGGTTTTAATGTTTCTATTCGGATTTAATGCTTCTTATTGAGTTTTTGTTGGGATCTATTGGGTTTTAATGTATCCATTGGATTTATTTGGTCGTATTGGGCTGTTATACATCTATTGGGTTTTATTTGGTTGTATTGGGCTTTAATTGATCTGTTAGGCTTTAATTGGTCGTATTAGTCTTTAATGAATGTTAGTTGGGATTTAACGATTCTATTGGTTTTTAATGGTTCTTATTGAGTTTTTACTGGATCTATTGGGGCTTTATTTGGTCGTATTGGACTTTAATTGATATATTGGGTTTTAATTGGTCATTAGGCTTTAATGGATGTTAGTTGGACTTTAACGGTTTTATTGGGTTTTAATGGTTCTTATTGAGTTTTTACTGGATCTATTGGGCTTTATTTGATCGTATTAGTTTGTTATGGATCTATTGGGCTTCAATGGATCTATTGGGCTTTAATGGATGTTGATTGGACTTTAATGATGATGATGATGATGATGATGATAATAATAATAATAAAAGTAATAGTAATAAAAATAAGAATCATAATAATAATAAAAATGGAAGTAATAATAATAATAATAAACCAGCGGAGTTTTCCGACGAAAAATGAAATTTTCAAAATTTTCATGAAAAACCTGTTTTTTAAAATATATAAAAAATTTCCGACAAACATATCCACCGATAATGTCTTAAAATTATGTGTTAACCGGGTTTTATCGGTTATAGTGTTTGGAGTTGTTTTTTTTTTTTTTTATCAACTTTGAAAGTTAAGGGTTGTTTTGAAATTGAGTTTAAAATATTATCACCATCACCGCCTCATATATTTTAAGTGGGTTAA